AATCAACAACATTTGTATATTCAGAGATTCTGGAAGCTTTAGTGAGGTAGAAGGATGAATTTTTTCCCCCCAGTGAAATCTGAAATTATCTGGAAACTCAAGACTGGCTAACATTAAGCTTAGGTTCAATCAAAAAGTTATCAACCAAGACATTCATGGGAAATATCAGCTTCCTGTGGCCGCCGACTGATTCCATTCTGCTCCCACACTCCTCTGTCACAGAGACGCGCAGAAGGAAGTGTCGACACTAAAAAACAGTTAATGTTGGCACAAAAGACTGGAGGTTAAACTGTCACACATGACTGCTTTCACTTCAGGGAACCTTAGCTGTTATTAGGGGCAGAGGTCTGAGCGTGAGCAGGAGGGTGTTAGCACCACCATGTGGCCAAACTGGGAAATTACATGTAAGCTGTTAGACAGTCCAGTGAGTACAGGTCATCTGTTTCCAGATAATGTAACTAATGGCAGTTATTATGGATTATATGATGCTTTGTGAAATCAAATGTAGAAATGCACAAAAGGAAAAGATGAGTCACATTTTCTAGATCATTTAATCAATATACTTTTATGATGTATATTTCGGTTTATTTTTGTCTTTTTATCATTAAAATGATTTTATTATTCAAATTATTTTATCATAATAATTTATTATTATTCAATTATTTCTCTGTATTTCAGATTTCTTTGCCCCCTTTTTTGATACTGTATGGTTGACAGGGATGGGGGTATTGTGTGTTCTGTTGTTCTTTGTTGTAACTCAAGGTATTTTTTTAAATGTAGAAATGTAAATAAATGTACTCATTCACTTTATATTATTTGCTAAACTTTGCATTCATTAAATTCCTCTAAGCTGCATTAGAATATGGTGTATTGGGAATACATGTGTTTTAAATAGCTAAATTACTTAAATAAATAAATAAATAATGTAAACATTAGTTAATAGATAGCTTTTTAGCATACTGTAATAAAAATTGGTCAGAAATCCTGCTTTATTTTTATTTTCTTATGTGAGTTAAAGAAAATAACCTGCATTGCTGATCACCTGTACTCACTTTATTATACAGACTATCAGGGTGTCCTACAGTAGTATTTCTATAGCCCAATATCACATTTTCCTCAGGGGGCTTTACAGTCTGTACCATCCATATTCTTCACGTATAATTTATAATCTTCATATATCCGAAATTGTGTCATCAACATTTATATACAATGAGATTTTGTTGGTTTGTTCTGTACACTCTATTGGATGTCTGTCTGTCCTGGGAGAAGGACCCCTCCTCTGTGGTTCACTGTGATTTTACCAATTATGTTTTTTTTGTGGGGGAGTTTTACCTACCTTAATCGAAGAGAGTGCTGAATGTTGTACAGATTGTAAAGCCCCCAGAGGTAAAGTGTGATTTGTGATTTTGGGTTATAGAAATAAAATTTGACGATTTGTACAACATACAACAAAAAAACCTTTAATGAGAAAACAAAAGGAAGAAATCTCTTACATTCACAATGTGGTGAACAGAATGGCAATATTAGGCTAGAATATGAAGAATGTGAATCAGAGGAGACTGTTAGCAACTTCCAGGAGCCCCTAAGGACTGGTAGGACCTTGACCATCAAAAATACCTGGAAACAAACAGGCTACACACACACAAACACAGGGCACAACTCAGGGACAACATTTATACACAGTAATAGACAAGAGGATCAAACAACTCATTGCAGACAACACATAATGTGAGGACAGGAGTGAACAATAATAAGACAAACTGAGTGGCTTAGTGGACAAGAAGATACAAAGCACCAAACGGACCCAGACCAACACAAATCCTGGTTAAAGGATGCGGAAAAAGACAGAGTCCAAATGAGAGAAAAGACAGAGAGAAAGGCAAACAGCCTGGGTGCTCCGACTGATCCAGTGTTTATCAGGACGTTGCTGTAGTCAGCAGGACTAAGTTCATTTAAGTAAAACAATTAGTTGGAACAGATAACATCGAACATTTTAAGGGAAACAAACTTCTATAAGTTAAAAAAATATATATATTTTACTAGTAATTTTAGGTTTTTAAGCTTTTTACTGTGTATTTTTTTTTTCACACTACAAACAAAAATTACAAAATTAAGTCAGTGTCACTTAAAACTACTAAAGCTACTTGATCAAGAATGTTCTTTAACTTACAACATTTTGTTTGTTTTACTTACAATTTTTGATGGAATCAGTTAAATTAACTTTTACAGTGCAATCCAATGGAAGGACAATGGTAACAGGTTTGGGGGCAGTGTAGCCATGACAACTTATTGAAGGCAAAAAGATGAGTTTTAAGTTTCGATGGCTCAGCAGACTGATGGTTCCATGGAAAGGGGACACAATAGGACAAAGCTCTGCCGCCTTCTATACAGACTTCTATTAAAGCTAATTAAATTGTTTACTGGCTTTTATATTTGCACATTATTATTATTATTGTATCCTCTGATGGATGTTGATCTTAATCCAAACACTTTTACCATATCAGTTTAGCTCCAAATAAAAACCAAGAATCCTCAAAAGATCATAGTAAATATAAACAATTTAATTACGTTCTCCATAAAAGATAATTATGTTAAAATACAGTAGATTATATAAACACTGCCATGGTTATAATGTACAATTAACAAGATTTTGTTCACAACACTAAAAACATACAAAATCATCAGAGATTCAACCAC